GGAATATGAGATGCCCCTGCTCAACTCTTCAATTGTTCATGATCACCCTGGATCACGCTTGAGTTCTGTGCATAGCCCAGGGAGTCCTCCCCATACGGTTCTGACTACATGCTTGCTCATCCTCCCTGCCCCCTGTGAAATTCACTCTAGCAATACAACGCCCCTCCTCATTCTGAGAGACCCACAGCTTCGCAAGTCCCTGGGCCTGTGTGGAACATACACACTCTGCCAGAGCAGGGGCTCTGTCCATCCTGACCTCTATGTTGGAGGTTGACACTTGGTGGGAAGGGTCCCCTTGTGGATGCAGGAACTCTAAAAGTTCTAACATTTTGTTCTGATGGTTTTTTGTGTGTGCGTGGTTCATTTTTTGAGACAGGATCTTACTCTGTGGCCCAGGCTGGAGTGCAGTGGTTCAATCACTGCTCACTGCAGCCTCCAGCTTCTAGACTCAAGCAGTCCTCCCAACTCAGCCTCTTGAGTAGCTGGGACCACAGGCACATGCCACTACATCCTGCTATTTAAAAAAAATTTTTTTTGTAGGGATGAAGTCTTGCTATGTTGTCCAGGCTGGTCTCGAATTCCTGGCCTAAAGTGATCCTTCTACCTTGACCTCCCAAAGCACTGGAATTACAGGCATAAGCCATCATGCCTTGTCTTGATGGTTGTTTTGAACTGACATTTTTCTAAAATAAATCTCTTAAAAACAAAAGTATAATACCAACAGAAATAAGCAGTTAGCTTTGCAAATTCCTACAAAGAAGGTGTGCCCATAAGCTTGTCCCACAGACCCCAGGGCAGAAGATCACCAAGACAGAAGCCCTTCTACCCTGACTTGGGCTCTGCTTTCCTCCCTCCAAAATCCTGTAATCTTGACTCTAATACTAAGCGCTGCTTTTAACTGCTTTTGGATCTTACATAACAATCCTACAGCTGTACTCCTTTGCATCTTTGATCAGTTCAATTCCAAAGTTGATTCCATATGCCTTTCAGAACCTTCTCAGTTTCACATACAGGTGCCAGTCACCCTGTCCCCATCCAAAAGCATCAGCGCAAACCAGTGCAGAGGCGACTTCACAGTGAGCATTAGGGAGCCCTCTCAGCAGCCTCTGTGTTCCCAGGTCTGGCCTGGATCACGGAGATAGGAGAGTTCTGGGGCTGACCATGACAAGTTTCTAACCACCCTAGGTCTAGGTGTGGCCTCATTGGGAGGAATGCTGACGAATGAGCCTGGGGCAGGCCACACTAGATGCTGAAGTCCCAGGTGGGTAGGGTGGCAAGGTGAGCCTTGGGCAGGTGGGCCTGTGAACATACCCTCCTGAGGATATGATCAGGTTGCAAATGGAACTATAACTTTCTGGGTAATGTGAGTCAGCCCTTAAGCCTATGCTAACAACCGAAAAGAGAATTAACCTTTGGGGCCTTGCAGGGCTCCAGGTGGTGTCATAAAGCAGTAACAAAACACTGCTCTTCAGTAGCTTGAAGGAAAATCTTTGAAAAATACCTCCCTGGGAGCAGCTTCCCCATCTCAAAAGATATAGCATAGTGCTTTTACAACATCTAGCCTGCATGATGTTCTACGTGAGTTGCAGTATCAAGGCCAGACCTCAGCCCAGGTCCGCTCTCCGCTGAGCTCAGAGCTGTGCAGTCTGAGCCCTTCAAAAACATCAGCTGATTCTGCCAGCAGAAGTGGTTCTTGATCATCGTTATGCCCTGTTATCTTTGGGAGAGTTCTAACTATTCATCATCATACGCTGAATATCAGAGGAGTTCCAGTATATAAATGTTTTGCCCTTGTGAAAATAAGAGCTCAGATTGTCTTATTCACTTTTAAATTATTGCAGGGAAAGAATGTGAATCAAAGGTGCTCACATCTTTGTAAGTTACTCTTACAAAGTACTGTATGTGACAAAATTAAGTTTACTACCAACTTCAGGACAGCAAATGAGTACCAGAAAGCAGGAGAGAACTACATAGAGTTAGGGTAATCTGCAGTTGAGGATGCAGCACACAACACTGCCTTTGCTGGGGAGGTCCGTGTCATTTTATTCCAAAGCAGTGGGGAATCTTTCCATGTATTTATGAATTAGGTGGACTCCCAAAGCAGTGAAAACTGCAAATGTGGGTGGTGCCATGAGTAATTACTAGATTGACCCTACGAGTTAAAGATCAGCCTGGGCAACATGGCAAAATCCTGTCTCTACAAAAAATACAAAATAGCTGGGTGTGGTGGTGCATGCCTATAGTCCCAGATACTCGGGAGGCTGGGGTGGGAGGATACCCTGTGCTCAAGACTGTAGTAAGCAGTGATTATGCCACCGCACTCCAGCCTGGGCTACAGAGTGAGGCCCTGTCTCAAACAACAACAACAACAACAACAAAAACCATGGTCAGTATACATGTAGGGTACTTTCAGTGCTGCTTTCACTCCCAATACACAGCAGGGATCATTTCTGCTGGCTGTACAATATGGTCTAAAGTCATAGTGTCATTCTGATGGTATACCTATTTAATTCTAATCACCCACAATAACAGGAAGCCATGAATACTTTGGCTCCTATCTTTTTAGCAAAAAAAAAAATCCCCCAAAAAAACAAAAAACTAATGGGAGTGGGGAGCTACGGAAAGCATTCTTACTTTCCTTCTTGGCAAAGCCACATCTAGAAACTTTGCACAGAAGTTACTGCATGATGGTGAGACCTGGTCAGAGGGTGCCTCCTCTTCTATTAGATGCAGCTCAATGGGACAAGGGAAAACTCATGCTGAAATAACAAGGTCCCTTTGTCCAACAAAAACCTCCAGGTAAGCAGGATAAAGAGATCAAAACAAAAAATGTATACTAACCATGGGGATCTTTCTCCCTCATGACGGGGATGATACTGATCCCCAAGGGCGTTTTGGCTATGAAGATCAACTGCTAAAATCAATACAAGGGTTCAGAACCTCACTGTATCTGTATTTTTACAGTACCTAATGCTTAACAGAAATGTTTCCCAAGAACTGTCTGCCTGGATTGAAACCAAGCCTATGGGAGAGCCGACACTACAGAAGAGGATCCGATCTATTCAGCACAGGCCTGGAGGGCAAAGTAAGAGCCAAAGGAAGGAAGGAAGTTAAAGAAATGTAAAAATCTGATTCTATTTAAGGAAGAGCTTTCTAACAATCTGTTTTCTCCAAAAATGGGATTGGCCTACCCGAGCCGTCTCTGTGCTCCAGCAGGGCTGGATGGCCATCTGTCAGGGACGGGCGCAGACCCAGCGCCGGCTCCAGGATGGGCGGCTGGCTCAGTCGGAGAGCCTGGGAGTATACCCATTGGCTGAACCAATCACAACTCACGAGAAAACTAAGCATGCTGGGTGGAAGAGGTGGTCTGCAGTTTTAATTTGTGGCTTTGTCTTTTCTCATTCTAAAAAACTGAGGAAGAAAAATGACAAGGTTTTCAAACTTCCAGGTCACCCAGAGCACTCGCCTGGCCTTGTTCTACTTCCTACCAGTCTCTGAGCATTTCATGCTTTACTAGAATCTTGTGAATACAAAAAAATAAAAAGGCAGTGGAGGCAAAAAAGAAAAAAAAGACACAAGTCAAGAACTTAACAATGTTTAGCATGATTTAAAAGAAGGTACTTTGGTGAAAGGCAGAAATTGGAAAAATAAAGCTCAGGGCTATCTTCAAGTACTCCTCTATTCATGCTACTCTCTTTTTTGGTAACCACAGTTAATTAAGAGTTATAAGCATAAAAGTGTTTGTTTCAAGTGGCATGCTTATGTGGGGAAAAAAAGATGAAAGGGAGGCAGCTCAGTGGAGAAGGACTATACTGTTAATGAAAAATGAAATTTCTCCAACAGGCTGAGAACCTATGATGACCAGTGTGACCTGGTATGATTCACACGAAGTCCTGTGTCTTACCTGTCTCTTACCTGTCTCTCCAAATCATGGTAATAACCTAATCCATGCACAAAAATACTGCCTAAAACATGAAGGCTTTAAATGATTGTGCAGAGGGAGTTGAGACTTTTCAGGATTGCAGAAAAGGAAAGATGAACAGTTTGCAACACCTACCACATTTGGTGTACAATTTTACTTTCAGTTTTCCCATGTATTCCTCATTCTCTGCCCCCCAAAAGGAAGGAAATCCTCTTGCTAGACAATTTTTTAATGTAACACAGGTGATAATATTAACTCATTTCAATAGCAAGCCCTTAAGTGATAACCTGCAGTCTTGGGTACAGACAACATTATCCTCATAAGAAGGTAACAACGTTTCAATGTCAGCTTGAGATGAGTCATTCTTCAGAAAAGTCCTCACACTATTTTCTTAAGTAATCTGAAGCAGTAACTACTGTCAGTCAGTCCTGTATGCATGCACATGAGAAAGCAAGATTGGATACTGTTAACTTCGTGTTAACTCCCGGGGGCATTGCCCATGTCCTGACACCTGGTGAGGGTTGGAGGGGGGAAGGCACATGGAGAGAGGGCCAGACAACACTATGGCTGAACTGGGCCCCTATCCCGGAGTGGCCTCACGTCACACAGGTGCCCTCTTAGCCAACAGCACCCGGGACCATGGTGTGATGCAGCATCAATTTCAGAGAGGGAAAAAGTGCTTTGGCTCTAGGCATATAGGCCAAATGGACAGGATTTTATAGGAGAGAGAGAACTTCATGGCATGATACCGGCAGAGCTGGGTAGACTTATAGAGGTGGGAATTCCAAGTCAGGGTCCTCTAAAGTTTTGATACAAGGAGATATCTCTGCAGAAGTCCCAAGCACATAGAAGTGTCTCCATACACAAGACCCCAAACTCTAGAATCTCCAGGAAATGACAAACATCTTATTTCTCCGTCTTCATCTCTTAATTCTTAGATTTTTAAAAAAAGACAACTAGGAAGATGTTAACATTTAAAACACCTTTTTTTTCTTTGAAAAAGCAAACAAACTAGAAAGATGGATAGTGTCCCTTGAAATGCACAAGGCTTCCTCTCTCCAGCGGGTGGAACACTCACCTAGTGTGTCCTTCAGGTTCTTCACGAGGGAGCCCTTCTTCAGGCTGTTCTTCCGTTCCACGTAGTTGGACGGCACATAGCCTGTCCTGTTGGCCGCGTTCCTCACCCGCCACCATGTCTTGGAGTCATCCAGCAACCACAGGCGCTCGTTTTTCTTGATGTCCAGCTCCTGGTCCTGCTGGGCGGTGTAGTCCCACTTGGCTATCACAATAACTTCTTCTGTCATCTTTCATGGAGTCCTTCTGCCAACAAAACATTTGGAGATGCTCATTAGAGAACTACCTGGACACTTCATCCTTTGCACCAACGTGAAAAATTAGGCACTGACAGTTTTTATTATGACTCTGCAACCGGTTTCCTCCTGGGTCTTGAAATGCTCAACCTTAAAATGTCCTTCTTTCAACAAGCTTTAGTGTTTGGTTTAGAAACAGCAATCTTAGAAAACAAATCCTATCTCACTGTTCGTTGTACATGAGGAAATCTCTAACAAAATCAAACTTGCAAAAAAGTCTAAATAACAATATTATAATTAAATAAGTCCATTTGATTAAGTAACATGGCCTCCTGATAACTGATAGGTTTACATTCATTTTCTCAGGATACGCTGTGTCTTATGAACATATTTAATAAATGTAACAATAAACTACTCCTACAAATTAAAGTTAACATTGTACTAATGCAAGGTGGTATCCTGGATTGGATCATGAAACAGAAAAGGGAAATTAGTGGAAATACTGGTGAAGTAAAAATAAAGTTTAATAGTAATAATAATTGTCAATCTCCTGGTTTAGACTACATTCACATAAGATGTTAACATTACGAGATACCGGGTAAAGGGTATATGGGAATGGTCTGTATTATATTAGCAACTTTTTTTATAAATGTAAAATTATTCCTAAAAATTTTCATTCACACAAAAACTTGTACAGGGACATCTGTAGCAGCTTTATTCATAATTGCTCAAACTTGGAAGCAACCAAAATGTCCTTCTAGTAGGTGAATGGATACGTAAACTGTGGTATACCCAGACAATGAAATATTCAGTGCCAAAAAGAAATAAGCTATCAAGCCATGAGAAGACATGGAGGAACCTTAAATGCATATTGCTAGGTGAAAGAAGCCAATCTGAAAAGGCTACACACAGTGTGATTCTGACAGTTTATCCTTAACCAAACTTCAGCCAAGCTCCTTTGAATCCTCCTCTCATTAGGCCTTGACTTTCGTACTTCCGTGACCATCTTTGCATTGCCCAATCTTTGCAAGACTCTCCTGCTAAGTTGCTCTAGCTGGAATCCTCCACCCTCGACATCTGATCAGGTTCCTCATCCTCTACCATCCCCTAGGTGACATCTGATCACCCTGTCCTGCCTTCAGAAGAATCTTGTTAGGTTAGTTTAGCCAGAATCCCCACCCTCCACCCCTGACGTTTCCTCTTAGTAATTTTCCATCCACCAACTTCCTTATTTTGCTTCTTGCCTATAAATGCCCATTCTTCCTTGTTGTATTAATATCAGGAGTCAAACTCAATCTCTTTCTTGACTGCAAAACCCTACTGTAGTAGTCCCTCTGAATAAAGTCTAACTGTTCTTCAACAAATGTCATGAATAACTTTTTTCTTTAAAATGGTCTGACATTCCGGAAAAGGAAAGACAGTAGAAAATGAGTGCTTGCCTGGGGCCAGAGGGAAAGGAGGAATGTACAGGCGAAGCACAGGATTTTTAGGGCAGTGAAACTACTCTGTTCAGTACTATAATGGCAGACACCTGTCACTATGTATTTGTTAAAATCTACAAAATGTGCAAGATCAGAAGTGAATATAACATTTTTCCAAAATGAAAAGTTTATCAAAACAACAATAAATAAATGTTATATTATATATCTAGTAAAGTTAATTTTGGAAGTAATAAATAGCAAAAATACAGCTGAATAAAATAATCAACTACTTCGGCAACTCTGTACTTCTGAGGTAGAAGATGAACCAGTATTCTTTCAGCAGAAAAATTCAATATTCAGTCCTTAAATTAACTATTTCTCCAAACTAGGAAGAAACGAATGATGAAAAGACCCTGGACTAAAATCCCCTTTCCCCCTGACAGAAGTTCTCATTATTTTAGAGGGATGACTTTAGGATTACAGGGGATCTATGCACATTGACTCCATGGAAGCATAAATACCATTTTAAAATAACATGATGTTTTCTACTAGATGCTAAAATTTTTTTTAATAAATAATGCATTTTATTTTTATGAATTAACTTCCAAATTTGAAGATAACAAACCTTTTGGGAAGGAGGAAAGCCTCTGCATAATGTATACAATATCCAAAGGATAAAGTTTACATAAAGCTCCTATCAGAACTGGAGACTATTTTGTTATACACTTTTAGAAAATCTCAAGTCCACACCATGTAGAACTCCCTAATCCAATCTTTATGTCAGATTAGAGCTTTGAAAGTCACAAAGGTAGATTTTCTTTTTTTTTTTTTTTTTGAGGTGGAGTTTCACTCTTGTTACCCAGGCTGGAGTGCAATGGCGCGATCTCGCCTCACCGCAGCCTCCGCCTCCTGGGTTCAGGCAATTCTCCTGCCTCAGCCTCCTGAGTAGCTGGGATTACAGGCACACACCACCATGCCCAGCTAATTTTTTGTATTTTTAGTAGAGACGGGGTTTCACCATGTTGACCAGGATGGTCTCGATCTCTTGACCTCATGATCCACCCGCCTCGGCCTCCCAAAGTGCTGGGATTACAGGCATGAGACACCACGCCCAGCCTGATTTTCTTTTTTTAAGTAACAACAAGAAGAGCAATAGCAGTAACAGGAATGGAGCTCAGAGAATATTGCGTCTGAATACCAGATTGCTTTCTTAATTACACAATTTCCACAAGGTTTTAACAAGAGCAGCTCGTCACTTAAGAACAGTCAAGATCTGGCCAATCAAAGCTGTTTATTAATATTTCCTACTCAATGAACGGCAGTTAAGGAAAAAGTTGGCTGGGCCTGATCTATTCCCATCTACACAGAACATCATATTGAAGCTTTAAAAATTCCACTGCCTGAGCCCTACTGAAAGCCAATTATATCAGGATCTTTATGAGAGAGGCCCGCGCATCCAAGGAGTTTTACATCTGGCAATATAATTCTGCTGAGCCTTAGGTGGGAAAAGCCAAGCGAGAGAACCGAGCCACAAAACAATGCCACACAGAGCTTCCCCGGGGCCACCACTCTGAGCTCCTCGGAACTGCAATGGGCACCTCCCATAGGTCAAGGCATTTAATCTTGGGAATATCCACGTTTCAGGGAGGTGTCATCTTTTAGATGACTGAGTGTCACAGAGACTGAATGCCTTGTTTAATGACAGTCAGGATTTGAGCCCAGGCCTGTGGACCCTCACCCAGTCTCTTCTTATGCGCTCACTCCTTGGGGTGGGGGTGGCTGGGGGCCTGACACTAGTTTGCATTTTGAGAGGCTTATTCCAACTCAGAACTCTTAAGTTTCTAGCACATGTGAGAATTAAAAGTTCCCATACACCTAGGAAATGACTGCCTATTGGTTGGCCATAGCAATGGGTTTAACCTTATCTTAAATGGCTCAAGGACCGCCCCCATCAATTTTAAAAAACAAAACAAAACAAAACAAAACCTGCTTCTGTTCACTTACTGCAATGAAGTCCACCAATCAACAACTGCCTCATATCAGAGGGCCAGCCAATAAGCAACCACTTCACTCCAGCGAAATCCACCAGTCAACAACCATGCCACACCAGATGGCCAGCCAACAGACAACTGCCTCACTGCACTGAGGTTGCTTCAGAGGGACAGCCAATCAATGACAGCCCCAATGGGTTAATCACCCTCTGTAGTTAAAGGTTAACTAATCCCTGAACGCTTCTGCTTCTGAAGCTCCAGGAGCACTGGAAGCCACACTTCCCAAGACCCTGAGAAAGCTCAGCTCTGCACTGGGCCCGACTTAGCAGCACTGCCTCCTCCATGAAGGAAGCACCCATACAATTTCTTATTCTGAAGCTGAGTTGTGACCACACACTGATAGAAAAATGGCTCCCTCATTTGCACAGCTGGCCTCGGCTGCTGCGCTCAGACACCCCAAAACCAGTGGGAAGGAAGAGTGCCCCATCACCCTGTATCCTCACAGGCTTCAGTCTTTTCTTTCTTTGCCAACACAGGTTGAAAGGGGGGCTGGAAGCCCATCTGAAGTGTCTTGCATGTTGGTCAAGTGTTGAGGTTGCATCCCTGAGGCCTTGGGAAGCTATTTCTTAAAATCCCAAAAGGACCATGTGGTATTTTCAGTTAACTAATTTGTTATGGTGCAGGTTGGATTTGAACAGGAAGAAGACTGCAGATGAACCATTACTCCACAATAAAATTAGACATACAAACTGACAAATTTCCAATGTGGAAAAGCCTCAGCAGAAGAAAGTCTGGAAAAAAAAAAAAAAAAGTATTCTAACTGACTGAGTACTCAAATTTTAAGTCAGAGTTGGTAATCTGATTTAGTCCAGGCAAGAATCGTAGACATCTGATTCAAAGAACAATGCATGTTTTTCTCTCTAGCTTAGCAGTTCAAGGAAACCTAGTTTTTGCCTTCATTACTACAGCTAGTTAAATTTGCCACTCAGGTCTAGCTCAAAGATATAAGGGCTACAAATTTGATATTCAATAGCCAGATCACATCTTGTATGTCATGTGACCTCTCTAGAACACAGCCTACCAGGACCCCGAGGTTATGCTGGAAAAACAGCTTTCAGAACCTCATGAGCTAGGCTGCTTTTTTCAAGCGTCAGGTGGGAACGGATTTAAAAACAAATAGGATATGTAAAAAAACTTTCTCAGCTCAACAGTTTTCACTAACCCCTAAAATACAAGCAATCCTACTCTAGGACCCTATTTTCTTTCTAAAGACAATCCTATTAACTGTATTTTGCTGGGTTACCTACTCCTGATACTAGCCTGTGTCCCTACAACATTAAAAAATGGTCACAGATATTTCCAGGGAGGTCATGGGGATCAAGCTGAACCACGTGGTCCTAAAGGCAAATATTACAGAAGAAAGAAGAGATTAGGGTCTGGGATCCAAGCTTAGCTGAACCATTTGTATGTCCTCCTTGGACTTCAGTTTCTTCTGTAAAATGGGACACCACCACTTGCCTCAAAAGATACTTCTGATACTCAGGAGAAACATGAGTACAAAGTGCTTTAGAGGGCAAGGTTTAGCATTATATAGGTGT